GTTAAAATTTTATTATAAAAATTAATTTTAAAAAAATTAATGCAGGCAAATTTGCCTGTATTACAATCTAAGGGATAGCAGAGAAAAACAAAAAAACAAGGCTCACTGGTACAAGAATAGAAACAAAAACAGTGCAAGTCATGAAGATACTATGCTAAAAGAAAGAAGCAAACCATAAGATTGATACAGAAGAAATCAAGCAAAAGACACAGATACAAGAAAAAAAAAAAATCAATCTTGAAAAAGGAACAGAAGAATTCGAAGTACAAAAACAAGATAAAGAGTCATGTATAGAGAACATCTTAGAGTGAATGTGGAAGAGACTAGAAAGACTTGAAGAAACAAGAGACAAAACTAGAGAGGACCTAGCTAATCGCTCCTAAGGGCACCTCAGTTGAACTTACAAATATAGATGAGGAGATTGAAAACTTTCTGCACAATAAGTGAAGAACTTTCGAAGGAAAAAATAAAAATAAATCTCCTAATTCAAAAGAAGAAAAAGAAAAGAAAAAAAAAAAAAGAAGAAAGTGCAGAGACAAGATACAAAAGTTTAAAAGAAAAATGAAAAAAAAAGAAAAAAAATAAAAATTGCATGTCATAATATTAATGAACTTAAGACAAAAGGTTGAAAATTAGAAAATCTGCTAAGCTAAGCAGAAGAGAAAGAAGTAGCAGTTCTGGGCATAACAGAAACAAACATTATAGAAAAAGAAGGAAAAATTTTGTTACACAATCTTAATACAAGATTCAAAGGTTACTGGACAAGTGTGATAGTGGACAAGAAGAAAGGATCAGGCATTGGAATCTTAATAGATGAAACTTGAGAAAAACATGTTGGAGCAGTTAAAAGATTTAATGAATACATGATAGAAGTAAGACTATACTTCAAACAATTGATAGTGATAGTAGTAGGTATATATATTCTACCAAATAACAAAATGATAACTAAAAAGATATAGCAAAAAATCGTAAAAATAGTAACAAACAGAAAAAAGAACACAGAAGTAGCTATACTAGGAGACTTCAATTACACAGTTGATAATATACTAGATAGACTGAATCCACAAACATTGGAGTATAAAAGACTACCAATCTTTAACTGGCTTAAAAGACAAGAGTTTATAGACTCTTTCAGAAGCCTACATCCAATAGAAAAAGCATATATGTAGTTAAGTCAAGAAGCTGCAACAAGAATCGACTATATTTAGTTATCAGAAATACTCGCAGCTAACCTACAGGAAGCCAATATAGAAGAGGCAGAAAACATAACAGATAGTGATTACAGGATAATAACAATGAACATATGAATAGAGCATGTAGTTGTGAATCATAGCTGTGCAGAAATCAAACATAAAGACCAAATAAGAACAATATACCTATATAAGAAAGCAAAATAAGAAGATTGGGAAGAATACGCTAAAGAGTTTCAAGTACAACTAGAGTGAAAAAGAGTATTGAAGCAACTAGAAGAGGATATAATAAACAGCGTACATGAGACAGATATGCTGAACTATATGTGAAATGCAATAGAAGAAGCCATAATAGAAGCAGCAAATAAACAAATACCTAAAAAGAAGATATTTAATACAAAAACAAATAGAAGACATCAGCACAGGAAGTCACAACATTGCAAACATACAATTGAACTACAATATATAATAAAAAAGGCAAAAACGAGAAAAAACCAAATAACAGAAAACAAAAAAAGAGAAGAAATAAACAATAGACTCAAAAACATTGCAAAAAAATAAGAGTAGTATTGCTAAAACTATACAAACAATGGTTAGAAGCTTGGTTAGAGAACATAAAAGATTGGCAAAGAATTGTAAAAGACAGAAGAAAAGAGAACTGGAAACAAGTGTAAAGAAAACAAATAGAAGAAAATATAAACAGAAGATATAAGATGATTAAAACTGATCAAGGATGAATAATTGCTAGTCTATTGAACAAGCTATATATAAAGATAATTTTTAACAGATTCATAGTTTAAAATAAAGAAGAAGTCAGTTTAATATCAGAGCCCAAGGCCATCATAAATGGTCTAATAATACACTTTGAGAACCAATTCAAAAAATGAAGAACCAAGCTAGAAGAAATGTCAGAGAAATAGAAAAAAATATATAGCCCAAGAGATTGGATCCAAAAATCTTAGTACAAAAAGTTAAAAAAAAAAATAGAAGAAAAGAAGTGAGAAGATACCATAAGAGAACTCAAAACCAATACAGCTCCTAGAATCTTAGGCATAAGCTACATTCTAATTAAGTGGGCAGGAAAAAAATCACAAAAAATTTTTAGAGCTTTTACAAACCTGGTTCTAGAAACAGATGAAATGCCAAAGAAGTGAAAAATAGAACAAGTCTATCTAATTTCTAAAGATACAAATTGGAGATATAATCTGAACAACATTAGACCAATAGCACTAATTGAGATCTTTAGAAAGTTAGTTACAAAGATGGTAACAAAAGGTTGGCCAAGATACTTATGAAGAGACAAATACTCAAAGGCCCAAATTATACAGGTTTGCCTGGCAACTCAACAGAACAACCGATATATATACTAAATATGATAATAGAAGAAGTACAAGAAAAAAATAAAGAAGCATAGATACTTTTGCAAGACATGAAAAAGGCATTTGACTCAGTTTTACTAGAAAGCCTAAGGTGGGCTCTCGAAAGAGTCAAAATACTACAAAAAACAATAAGTTATATTATTAACCTTTTTTATAAATAACAACTAAAAGTAATTACAGCTTATAGTCTAACAGACGAAGTAACAGCAGGAGATGGTATAGACCAAGAAGAGGTAATCTCTCCACTAATATGATGGCTTTTCTATGATCCGCTATTGGAAAGAATTCAAGAAAATGAATTGTTAGGGTATATTGTAGAACAAAAAACATTAAGCAATACAAATATTAATTGTATTACAAAGTACAGACAAGTAGCAATTGCTTATACAGATGATACTACATGGATCACAAATACCAAAAACCAAATGCTAAGAATTTTTGAAATTGCAGAGGAGTTCTTTAAAGCAAATAATATTGAAATAAATGGAGCAAAATCGAAACTCATAGTAATGAATTCTAGACTGAAAAAAGAAGATAAAGAAATTACATTCAGACAAAGTAGAATAATTGAAGAACCAAAAAACAAAATTGTAAGATTATTAGGAATCTGGCTAAACAGCAGAATGAAAGAATCGCTAGTCTGCAAAAAAGCAAAGGAAATAGTTAGTCAAACAGTCAAAGATCTCAGATATAAAAAAATGACAATGAGCCAAATCACATATATAAACAATACAGTAATAATCCCAAAATTAGGATATTGTTTGCAGGCAATAAGTAAATCTGTGCCTGGTTAATCATATGATATGCAGTTAACTGATTTTCTACACATGACGACTGCCGATCATTTGATATAGTGTAACTATTAATATAGTTAGTATAACATAAAGCATTATATAAAAAAAAAATGCAAAATCAAATGTTAAAAACTTTAAAACATGCAGCCCAAGCAAAAGGTAATGATAACACATGATCAAACAAATTTTTACTAAACAGATTAAACTTTATATATATTCTCTTAAGACTAGCAAACTCAAAAATTCATGATATTCGAATGTCTTTATAGATTTTTCTGTTTAATAAAAAAATTCTCATAAAGATTAAATTCCAATCATTAAGCATAACAATCAAAGAAAAATTTTTAATATATTAAATTTTCTTTAAGAATAATATATATAGTTAATTTGTTTAGTAAAAAGTATTAGATTATGCACAATCGAGTTTCTAAAAATTTTAGCAAAGATATTCAATATATATTCATCAAAAATCTAATCAAACTTTTATCAGGAGTACAGCTTTAAAGCTTCACTATTTACCATCCCATAATTGATTTTAAACATTAGGTGTATTCTTTAAAATAGCTTGATTTAAGTCATGTGAATGTTTTTTTTGATGTTTTTTTTATGCTGGCATAATAGAACAGTCTAATTCTTGTGTTTCAATATTAATTTGTGAATTTTTTTTTAGACTTTTTTGGGATACTCTCTTGAAGCCACGATTTAAACTTTTTCTATAACAAGAAGCAGCAGTAACCTGGACTCATATCCTTTTTCTACAGTATTGAGAACCCTTGCCATTGACCTGACATGCACTTTCATCATGAATATGAAGAAAAGAAGTTACAGATCGATAAACATAAGTATCTTGCATATTTCTATGTTGCTTATATGACTTGATAAAATTATGAACACCATCATTTAATGCAGGATCATTTTGTTTTAAGAGGTTCTCTAGATCACTGCAAAACCAATGAAGTTTACTTATTGCGCTTTTACTATTATCTTCGTTATTGTCTTTGTCACCAATGTTATCATTATAATTGCTATTAGCACTATCACTACTATCAGTACTGTTATTACTATTAACAGTATTTGAAGATTCTGGTAATATGAATATATTTTCATTATCAGAACTATTAAATTCATCATTATTTATACTATTACTTGAAAAATTTCTAACTTCTTGCTCAATATCAGCTATTTTATATATATATTCATCTTTTTCAAGTTGTTCTTGGTAAAGATTAGCATAAAAACTTAAGAATTTGTGCTTTTCTCCTAATGCTAAGTAAGCATAATCATATCACCTTTCTGCAGACATTGTAGGTATTTAGTTTAATTCACATATATTATAATGTTTAGCTATTGATGCTTAATGCACACATGGTACTTCTATTTGATTACATTCACATACTCCAACTTTCATATCCACAAGATACCACACATTTGGATCTTTACTACTCCTATGTCTATATACCAGTAAATTTGAATCTATGCCTTCTATTTTATCTTTCATTCTGATTAACCATCCAGAGAGTTAAAAGTGAAGGGCAATGAAATTATCTAACTTGTTGTAGGCCATCACCAGCAATCTGCAAACATAATAAAGATCTATAGTGTTAATAATAAACTGGAACATTGGTACTATATTGTATGCCTGTACATATTTAAAAATAATTTCTTTTATTATTCTAATTTCAGCCTCAGCAAAGTTGTTAGTATGATTATTACGAATTGGAAGTTACTGGCAAAATGCTATAGCTCATTTATTTTTTTTTTTTTTTAATATTAATGGTGAGACCATGCCTCTATCTTTATTGAATATTTAATTGAGATTTTATATGAAGTACAATTCTGCTTTTAAAATATTATAGAAAGAATAGAAGCTCAAACTAATTTATCTGTGACCTAAACCAATCAGAGTGGCCAAGGCTCACCTAGATTTAAGTGTTAGTAATTATGTATA